AACCAATGGCGAAGAACAATGTCATATACAGGATCCAATGCAAGGACTGCGACAAACGGTATGTAGGACAAACAGGAAGTAAGCTCTCAGCCAGAATACATGAACACAAGCTCGCCACCAAGAGGCACGATCAGTTCTCCCTCATCTCTGCACACAAAGATCAGGAAGGACACGAGTTCGACTGAGGCCGTAGAGAACGAACTACTAAAAATAGAAGGCGTGAGGATAACCGGTCGACACAAAGGAACGCAGACCACAACGCAACAAAGATCACAAATGGACCAAGAGATTCACCAAATTTGTTACACTTTAAGTAGCCAATCGCGTTAGAAGATGACAGATAGCCCTCGAATGCTATATAAGCGCACGCAGGCAAGGAAGAAGTACCCACTCAACTGCGCACTGATGATGTCTCCTCGTATGGTGACGAAACGTTTGCAAGCCAATTGCCAAGCTCGGCGAACAGATCAACAGCCACCTGATCAACAAACAACTGATAATACCCTTCTTGTAAGAATCCGAACTGGTAACTGAGATGATCAGAAGGTAGAATTTGCTCGCCAAATATGCATGGAACTGCTATTGATATAAGCTTTAGACAGTTTTTAGCGTTGACTATTCGCATTTAAGTTGGATCAAAATTTCAAAACGTTTGCATGATTTTCCCACAGGAAATCTGGCGCATTAGTTGTGCACCAATTAACTTATAAAATTACGCAAGGATTTTCAAAGAAACATGGGATAGAAAATTGAGGACTTTATTCAGTTGACATTTTTACGGCACGGAACTGTACAAGATAGCGCAAGACTAATTATCCGTCCAAAAATGAGTTTATTCCAAATATATAATTGCAGCCCGCAGGCGAAGTCGAATTCCAGGCTCAATTGGGGATGCATTTTGTACCGGAGTAACTACTTTATCTTGAAGGATCAAGTTGTCCGAGAATGCAGCGACTTGTGAACACTCGGAGTTACTGAAAAAAGTCCCTTGAAAATTTTCAAACTTTCAATAGCTGCCAAGGATGACCATAAAGAAACTCGAAACTAATACGCAAGCTGCATGGAAAAAACAACAAACGAAACTTTCACACGATTTCCAGATGATGTATTGTAAGAAAAAATGATTCCGAGTGTCCTTTGATTATGAATCTATAATTCGATCTCTGTTTTGGCCATTTAGACAAAATCTGAAGCAGGAATTTTCTTATAGCTCCCAAATACCAACGACCGTAATTCTGCGAAAATGATGTTTTCGGAATGTTGTCTAAATCCCGACAAGTGGTATTACCTCCGTCTCGTTTCCTTCTAAAGGAATGCAGTTATATACAATTTGTGAACTCATGCTAACGTAGCTTC